CAACTTAGCCTTGTGATAAATAACTACTGATCATAGGGAAACCTGGGTCCTTTCCAGACTCTGCTGTTGACCTGCCATAAGACTTTAGAATAATTATCTCCTTTCTATGTCTCCATTTCTGTATGTTATCTTTTATATGCTTCCAAGTGCTTGTATAGTGCCTTGAGTAGCTAGGCTACACTGTTGTGTGAAGCCTGTAGGAGTTGTTGCTGCTTGTATTACAACAGCATAATAAAAAACTGGTCTTGTTAAATATTATCAGTAATGTATTTGGAAAGCTACAAACAATGCTAAAATACATGTTGGGGTGAAATCCTGGCTTCAGTGAAGTCAATGGGAATTTTGCTATTAACTTGAATATGATCAGGACTTCATCCTCAACCAGGATTTTGGTAGGAAAGTTACTAGATAAAAGATAGAAAGTTGCATTTGAAAGAATAGCAGAAAAGCAGATAGTTGCTGTAGATAAATTCAAGGAAAAGGGAGAAAAGCATTCAACAGATTATGGCATTTTTAACTAGCAATATAAGGTACTGAGTAGTTTGTTGTAGCATTTTAACTTTTGTTTTAATAAACTGATAGCAGACCTTGCACAGTGTACTTCCAAAACACCATTATCCTGGTAACAGGGAAACAGCCTGCCTACTTTTATTAAGTCTCACACTAACAGTAAAAACAGGGCTATGGATAAATCACATAAATCCATTAAGCTTCTTTAAAAGCCATAATGCTGGCAGTCACAACTTCCCACTGATGCGCATAGATACCAGATGTTAATGTACAGTGCTTATGAACGTACAGTACCAAATGCTAACAAACAAGTGAAAATGCTAGGGCTCTTTGACTGAGAAAATGAATATTTTCTCTAGTGAATTAAGTATTTATAACCAGATCAAAACCTCTGAAAAACAACATCCTGCTCCCACTACATATATTTTCATCTTAACCTTATACTACACGCAAGGACAGAGGTCTGTAATACAGGGAGATCCTTTATGTTTAAGAAATTCCTATTGGGGTATGAAAGGCATGAGTGTGTGTGTCTGTGTGTTTATGCACACATTTATGCGTATGCATGCACGCACATGGGAAAGGCAGAGCACTGGCCAGCCTCACAGTAAGAGAAATATTGTCTCAAATATTTGTAAATAATACAAGACATACAAATATTTAATGGAGAAGAAAACATTTTTCCTGATGCTGGAAGTTATGCTTGGAGTTAAGAAACTGAGATTTAACCTAAGGGGGGAGGTATTTTCCTCATGTTCCCCTTTCAGCTGAAATAACCAAAGAATAGTAGAGCAGGCAGCTATTGTGTGGTACTAAAATTGATATGGCATGGATGTATATTTGATTGTATCAAAAAGTAATGAGATGTACAAAACCCTTATCACTGCTAGTCCTTTAAGGACTATAAGATTCAGGTTGAAGGTGGTGAGCACATTCACATGGCTCTTTCAGTTACTACTACAACTCTTTGCTTTAAGCTTCTGAAGAGCCCTCTTGATATATCTGGATAAGATTGAATCCCAATCACTCCCCATTTCAATCAGTGGAAAGCCTTCCGTTCAGGCAGAGTTGGATCAGACCATTTGTGATTAATTACTAAATCTATACATAATTTTCAAAACCTGAATGACAAGAAACATATTTAACATATTCAAGATGAGGTTCCCACCTCCTGCACCTCCATTTAACGTAAGGGGGGAAAAAACCTTGTCTTGGATTTGCGTACCAGGACTGAGGCCAGAGCTGCTGCCACTGCTGCTGCTTGCCTACCCAGGGTGGCTTGAGGTAGCTTTTGTGGCAGGGAAGTGTTGAGGAGACCATGCAGTGCAACGGCAAAGGGTGCACAAGTGAAGAGGCATGGGAGGGACCATGAAATGGTAGGATTGCTGCTGCAGCTCCAACTCAGGCCCAACCTGACCAGGGACCAGAGCCATCAAAGGGTAAGTGGTGACAGGGGAGACAAGTGGCACAGGGAGGACAAGGGGTGGAGATCAAGCTACCAGCCCCCCCCCCCCCTCTGCTTTCCCTTCCATTTGCCTCGCTGCCTCTGCTTTTCCTTCCACAGTAGTTGCAGGGAAGAGGGGGAGAGGGAAGATAAATCTAAGAACTTCCAGTAGTTAGATTCTATGTATGAAAAATTGAAACAAACGTATAATTTTCCTTAGAATCCAAGGTATAATCTAATTATTGGCAGACTGTTTTTCATTCAAAGTAATATTGGATTCAGGTAAATACGATAAGAGTGGATCAGAATTGCTTGTGGTTCACCTAACTCTGTTCCTCTTATCTTCAGCAGGATCTTTGGCTCCTATTGAAGTGAACAGCAATGCAGAGCACATGTAAATAATTTTCTGTGTAGGTTTCATATAACTCCTTCCTCACTGTAGGATCCTACTGTCTCCCAGTTCTGTCCTAAATAATGTGCTTTTTTCTCTTCCCCATTCTTCAGTGGATAGTTCTGTGTGTAGTGTATGGGTTTTGATTTCATAAACTATAGGTACACACTGCTGTCTGGTATTTTGGAATAGAAAAGTTAAAAAAAAAATGTACCTTGCACTTGGAGCAAAGGATGCAAATCTAGCAGTGGTTTCCTAGTCATGTGGGGGCTTGTTCAACGTTACCAAAAAAAGTCTCTCACAGACACGCTTTAATTTTGCAACAGAAGCTTCTCTGTATGTCACCACCTAAAGCTGATAGGTGGAGCTCCCCTATCTGCATCTTCTCATGCCACAGGGTGCATGTGTAAAAGGGTGCCAGCAGCTGGGGGTGGGGGATGTGGCAGGCCAGTAGGGGGTGCTTCTACACTGAGGCACCCATGTCGCTGTGTCCGACCACCTTCCAGGCTCCAGGTACCTCCCTGGGGGTGCCTCACGTCTGGCCAACCCCCTTCCTACCCTGGGGGTAATGCAGCCACCACCCAGGGTCTGGACTGATCCTAGCTCTGTGCCCCCTGGGAAACACAGGCCTAGCAGCCCTTGAGAGTACACAATCCACTTCAAGAACTTGGGATGCTTCCCTCAGTCAGAAGCACAAACAGTGGTCTCCCTTAGCCAAACCAAGGGGACCCCAAGGCATAATCTAGCCCCTCTCCCAATAAGTCTCCCATGCTAGGTCCAAAGGAGAACTTTATTGGTTACAAGAAGTAGGTTTGGAATAGGGTACAATGTAGAGCAATATCAGAGAAATCCCAAAGAGCAAACAGGGTGGATGTGTAGCCTTTGATCATGCATCTGAGTTACTGCAAGCTATATATCTAGTTAGATCTCAGGTAGTTTACTCACAAGCATCATCCAGAGGCACATGGAGAGTCCCTCTGGAGACAGGCAGGTCATTGATCATGAGTTTCAAGAGAGGGAGCAAGTTTCAGATGGTCCAGCTTCTCTCTCTCAGTTTTCATCATGGCAACTGCCCCTCCTCCTAGGCAGTCCTTAACTTATATAGAGCTTATGACCTCATTTATCAGGTCTAATGGAGGCCAGCATCTGTTGGCTGCCAGCCAACCAATTTGAAATGCATCACTGGTTGCCGGGTAGACTGGCAGGGTCCCTCGTCCCCTCCCAGTCAGGTTAGCATTGCTTAGAACAATAGGGAGTTTAAGCCCTCCACCCAGGTATGTGATGCCAGTCACATGGGCAGAGGAAGCAGGTTTCCCCCCTCCCGCAAGAATGTATCCAACTCAGGTTACAACTCAGTGTCACCTAAAGAGATGGGATGTCTGCCATCTGCAGTGACCATGTTAACCAAATTGTCACATAGCAGTTTTTGGGGAGAGACAGAGGTGACATTCTGCCACAGGGGAGACCCCCCATCCCCAGCTGCCAGTACCTCCCAGCTGGGATATGGACTTCTGAGGATTGGGGATATTTCCGTACTGACTGGTGAGTTTAAAGCCCCAGCAGGCAGCCAATGTCAGGCTGCGTAGTGAGGCTTTACCCTGCCACATATTCAGTTTAAGTCATGATGGAAACCTGCCATAAAGATGTTCCACATATCAGGCAACTAATTGCCTGAATATGTGGCACAGTTAATATTTATCATATGAGTAACAGGTTAATAGTATCATAAATGTAACATCTACCAGGACCAGGGCCATCCCTGGTGGGGGGGGGGCAATTGGGGCAACTGCCCTGGGCTCCACATTTTGGGGGGCCTTGTGGAGCTGGGTGGAGAGGCCGTGGTGACTCCAAGCCACTGCCACTGGCTTTGCGTCCAGCTGCTCACTACCTCCTTCCAATGGCGGTGGCATTTTCTTTGCATGCAGGGTGCATGGGATCAGGGCAGAAGTGGGGCCCCACATAGGATGATTTGCCCCGGGCCCCACACCCTGCTCAGGTTGGCTCTGACCAGGACTCTAAGAATGTATTTACTGCAAGGTAGCTTACTGTGCTTTCCAACCTCTTCAAACTCATATGTAGTATCAACCCTGGAACTTTGTATGGAGAAGCAGAGTGGTGTAAATTAACCTTTAAGCACACTTTACACTATTTTTTCCATGTATTTTTACCTCCCTAAGGTAAAATGTAGTATTAGCCTTTCTTACATCCACACAAGTATATTAAACAATAGTAGAGCTAGAGTTTAAGTGTAGCAGCTTTATATCGTTGTAGTGGTCTCCTAGGAGTTGGTCTTATTATTAGTTGGTAATCTAATCATTAACCATTGGATTTGGGTGAAGGGGATTAAAAAATAAAACCATGTTTTACTCATCCTCTGGTGGTAAAATCTCTCCAGCATAAATGTCTTATTCAAAGTCCTGAGCTGAATCTCACCTAAATCCAGAAATGTGTTTCAGGGGGGTGATGGAGCAAATGTGCAGGTGTCACCCACCAAAAGTGGGGGAGATCGCATCCATGGATGTACCTGTGTATCAAGAGTAACATGTTCTGTAGAAATAAGTTTTGTCTAAATAAGTAATATTCTGTCACATGACCATTGGCTAACCATGTAACCACGCATTGGCTAACCATGTATTTGCATTCCCACATTTACAGACAGGGATCAGCAGAGGAAAGACAGACTAGTAAAAGCAGTTGAAAAATATAAGAGGGAAATCATGCAAATCCTTTTCACTCCACCATTTAATGCCAGGAGCATTTCTGCAGATCAGCAGATGGTAAGCAATATTCTTGGCCAGTTATTATCCTGGGATCTGACTACACTTGCATTAAGAAAGCAGCAAATCACACAAAATGCTAACAAACTTGCAATTAAGTGGTTTTAGTCTCACATGATGGTATATGCCTCAATGCAGCAGTAAAAGCAATTTTATTAATTAAAACTACAACTTTTTCAAGTTTCAACCAAACAACTGTATTTTGTTTACTACTGTTTTATTAAATAGGGATAATATTTTATTTAAATTTTGCTTTTGTGAGTTTTTTCTCCTCTGAACAAAACCTATTTGTTGCTCTCACTGTAAAATTACAGTCCTGAGTGATCTACTAGGCTTGTAGGTTTGCCATAAACTGCAATATGAAAACTTAGTCGTGCTTTATGCTAGCTAGAACTCCCACCTACACTGTTGTTATCCTTATATAGCCTCCCTGCTAGCAGTATGCATGTGTGCGCGCACACACACTTTGCTCCTTTGAGCTAAGGTGTCTCATCAATTTTAACTTGGATGAGAATTTCTAACCAAGAACCACGTCGGTCCTTGGAGCTGATCAAGTCTAATATTAATATTTGAAAACAAAAAGGAGTACCTTGCATTTAACACTTTCTATAAAATCACTCACTTGAAATAATTTAACCATGTACTTACTGGTATTTCTATTAGGAACAACCTGTTTTGTAAGAAGATTTCAAAGGAACCAAGTGTAAAAGGTTTCTTTACTGTATTGATTGAGACACAATCCTGTGGCCTTTATTGCCTCATATTTCCCTTTTCTTTATTTCAGAAAGATTTTTTTTTGGTAAAAATAAGAGACTAAAAAAACTGGATTCATTTATCTGTATGTTTATCAAGTGTCAATTAGCAGATGGCTCCTAGAGTAACATTGTAGAGTCTGGTTCACTTGTGCAAATACAGTGGACCAAATCCTGATGTCACTAAAATAAATGGCAAAACCCCTATTGAGTCTGTGGATTTCACCCACCATGTCTTGAGTTATTGGAGAACATTTGGCTTCTGATTTTAATTTGGGTCCCAAGAGTGCTAGTATCTACATACACATATATACAAAAAGGAGTGAATGATACTGTCATAGTAGGTGCAGCTTTGGTTGAAGGTCTGTGAGCTGTGTCTAAAGAAAGCACCATAAATGGGAACACACAGGAACCAAAGAAAGGAGGTCTTTTCCCTCCTGTTGCCAGACCATCATAATAGAGATCTAGGCTTCTTTAAAAGGCAAGGAGAACAGGCAAGGTACTGGCAAGGAACACTGCAAGCTCTGGAAGTGCGTCACAGAGGTTTTGCTCAAATTGCAAACCTCTGAGCTCTAGGAATCATTGATATCACTTTCAGAGCTACTGATGGGACATCAAGCTTTGTGTTGGAAATCTTAAGCCTCACACTGAGTTGAAATGGCTTTGGTCCATTGTTTGACAACTGTTTTGTTCTCTACCTTGCAGTTGCCACTGTCAGATAAGAGCTACATGCACTTGGCATTTGTTGAGAAAGGATGCTCCATTACAAAAAGAGAACATCTCTCTTACATACCTTACCAGAAATCATACTCAAGGATTCCATCACCAGTTTTGGCTGCGAGAGAGACCATACATGAAATTGTTCAGCAAGCATCATCTCAGACTCCGGCTGTTAGACCAACTCGGTGCAAGTTATCTTCACCATATAGGCAGTCTCACTTGCACGTGATGGGTAGCAACAGGAAGATGACGTTTCAAGATTCTTATAAGAAAACATACAGTGGTGATCTCCTTGACAAACATTCAGACTGGTTCACAGAAAAAAAGCAACCTTTCACCCCCCAAATTTTAAAGACATCAAGTCAGTCTTCTCTTTCAAAGTACAGGTACTATAATCCTCCCCACAAAAAGATGAACCATTGCCAGGGAAGACAACCCCTTAAATCAGCTGCAGCATACAGTCAAAAGCCAAGCAAATTTTACAGGTAAAACACTGGCAGTAAAGAGGTGTTTATCACATGTTTGCAGATGAGTAAGAAAAGTCTATGCAACTTTAGCAGTTCGCTTGCAAATACATACATCTCTAGCTAATTCTGTTAATTTTCCTTTTCATCTTTCAGTTCCTTAGAAGAGGGACATCTGAGATCACATCCAGATTACTCTACATGGCAACTGCTTAAGGTTGTTGTATCCAGTCTGGTATGAAGTAAAAAAATACATATATGGCACCAATATTTATATACAAAAGCTGTCCTCTTTCTATATCCAGTGCCATTTTAGAGATTGATACAGAGATCCTGGTTTTTGGTGTTTTGGTGTTTAAAAATGAAAATTTCTCTGATTAAGATAACCCAATATCCACACTTTTCTGTGATTTTTATATATATATATATATATATATATATATATAGGTAGGTAGGTAGGTAGGTATGAGTTGAACACAATATTTTTTTGATATATTTACAATCTTAAAGCAATTTGGAAACCTACCAGTGCCTCAATCATTATAATAAAACAAATTTGAACTATGTATAAATGTTGCCTTTTGATTTTGGGTTATTTATCATGGAAAATTAGAGCTCCCCCTGCCCACTTCACTCACCAGGACATGGGGCCAGCTGCAGCTGTCCCCCCTCACTTTGTGGCGCTGAGCAGCCCTGATAAGCGAATGCCTCTCACACCCAACCCACAGCCCCCCAGCCCTGCCGGTACCCCTCACTCCCAACCTGCAACCTCCTGGGCCTTCCCTTATTCCTGACCCACAGTCCCCCACAGCCCTCCTGGTGCCCCTCACTCCCAACCTGCTGCCCTCTGCCCCCAACCCCTCAGTGTCAGAGGAATGGAGTGGGTGTGTGGGGAAGGTGGGGGAGTACAGGTGACATGGTGGGGGGCCTGGAAGGGGCACTGGTGATGCAGGAGGGAGGGTTGGGTGGCACAAACCACATGGCAAGGGGGGGGCACGTGCCCCCCCTGCAAGATTTCTGGCCCCACAGTGGGGCTGGACCAGCTCCAGAAAGGAGCTATCTCTGTGGCCCATCAGGTGGGACCCAGTGCTAGAGGGAGTGCCACATTGCCATGATGAGGCACGGCAGCAGCAGTGCAAAGTTATACCCCCCTGCTGCTGCCAGGTGGGCAGGGGATGCTGCAGCTTGGTGGCCACAGTGGTGCTGTGCTCCCTCCTGTGCTGGATCCTTCACACTGGGCCGCAGAGGCAGCTCCTCCAGAGCTGGTCTGGGTCTACTGTAGCCCTATGCCCTGCACCCCACTACTTAGCTTAAATAATACATTTTCTCTGTACAATGCTGCTTATACAAATCATTTGTACTCATGGACTACATACTCACTTAGACGTCTATTGTATATGAACTGGCCTGTTGCTTCCAGTAGGCTGCTTTATAAGAGAATTAGAATTACTGTAATCTTGACATGTTATAAAATCAGATAATTTTCCTTATGGGGTTTTCATTGGTATTATAAAATGTTAATAAAGAAGCATTAAAAGATCTTTTTCCTTTGTATTTGAACATGGTAGGACCATGAATTGCGGTTTATCAAACCCCAAACACCACATTCTCCATGCTCACAGCTTCAGAATAAGTAAGTGAATAATGTGTTCTTCCTTTAAAATTATTTCTTATTACATGACCAAGTGGGTGCGTGGTGTTACATTGCCATAGCAACACACAACAGCAGTGTAGCCTTTGCAGGTGACTACATGTGACCCTGGTATAGCACCCCACTATGGCAAGTAGCTGCTAAAAATGTGCACCGTGCATATGGCTCAGTATGTGCTGTTACTACACCATGAGGTAGGGCTTCCAAAAGGAAGTACTAAATCAAAGCGCAGTAACAACATTGCCATAGTGACATGTGTAGACACACCCAGTAATAAGCTGACACAAATTCGAATCAGGGTTGGTTAAGCACAAAGAAACTGGCAAAGTGCATAGAGCTGAAGTAGGAATATTGATGACACAGGCATTTTGCTACCCATAAGAGGGATTACAGGAACAGAGGACTAGAAAAGATCTCTTGGGCCATCAAGCCCAGTCCTCTGCAATTGCAAGAAGTCACATCATAATAACCATCTCATAAATTTCTCAAGCTAATAAGAAATATATCATAATAATTATAGCTCCTTCCTATTGCTAGCAGTATTTTTAAATGATAATCAAAGGCCAAGAACTTCAACAGTGATTGGTAATATTTGGCTTTCCAGCAGTAGCTGTTCTAAGTGAGGTGGATTCTCAGATGCTCTTTTGGAAAATCAGGCCTCTTTAAAAGTGTACCTAAACGAGGCAAGACCCAAAATTACAGTTGTTACTGAAATTAATCTTTATTTGAATTAGCCTGATCCCTGTGAATTACTAGCCAAATAAAAACTTTCTGGGAAATTTCGTTGATATTTTAATCCTCAGGATTTCCAGAAAAATCAGACCTTAAGCAAGAGTGGCAAACATAATAGAGTCTCTGTTTTGAACATCAAAATCGGTGGTGTTGGACTCAAATAAGAGAACACTGGTAGTGGCCCAGGAAAAACACCAAGCTAAATTAAGAGACTGAGCAAGAAAAGTGCTGGCAGGAGCTGCTCTTCTGAAAGAGTTCTGGTTGAGTAACTTGAAAGAAAGACCCACGTTTCAGATCAGTCTGGCCACATTCTACCCAGCTGCTGCAAACAACAATATCTGGAGACTGGCAGCCAGCAAGCTGTCTATATAACAGCAAGGACATAATCAAAAAGCTGTTTTCCTTTCCATATCCCCTGGAAAGGAGGATATAGTATTCATACTTCAAATTAGCAGAGAACTTGATTTGGTGGAACACCTTTCAGTTTTCATTAACAAAGACTTTTAGGGCATGTCTGTGCCTCAGTTACAGCATTAGGCACAGGTATGAACAGGTGTTCACTTCTAGCACTAGAAAATTCTGGGAAATTTCTGCCACTAGAAATCTTTCCAAAAGAGGGAGCAGTACAGGCAGTTCCAGCTTGTAGCTTCCCCCTCCCCCCTGCTCCCTGCACCTGCCCCAGACCAGGGTGATCCAGGTCTGGGGAAAACTCAGGGAGCAGCAGCTGCTTCACTCTTCCCAAGCCCTGAGAAGAAAGGAGCAGAGGGGAAAGGCTTCCTGTGCCTTCCCTAGACCAGGGTCCCTCTGAACTGGGGAAGCACTGGAATAGCTGCTGCTCCTCCCCTCCTGGTCTTTGGGAGAAGGAGAGCAGTGGGGCAATGCTCCCTACCCAATCCCTAGACCAGGGTTCCCCAGTCTCAGGAAGACTCCGGGGGCAGCAACATATTAACTCCTCCATGATTAGGAGTCAGTCTGTGAGGAAATGCCCTGCCCACCAGAGTCTGGGGAAGGAACTGGTGAAGCTTCTGCTTGATAACAGAGGAGTCAAGCCTACAGGTGAGGTATTCATTCTAGTTGTTAACCTGGAAGATCTTTCTCCTCAATGGGGCCTGTTTCCTATGGGAGAAACTGAATGAACACCTGTAAACTGGCAATTTCTACTGGGAGAAAGGCAACTCTCCTGGTAGAAACATAACACCTGTATGTGGCCTAAGACATGCCATTCTCACACTGTGCATACCACCTCCTGAAACAGAAGTAGCATAGCCACCTCACTGTGGCACTGCATATAAGCCAGCAGGCTTTGCTTCTCTGGTGTTGGGTGCCACACCTCACTAAAGCAGTTCACTGCTTATAGTTTGGTAGGTTGCAAGGTCAATATGACACTGTCTTACCTTATAATGGAGCAGTGTTACCACATCCTTAGAGCTTGTCCCTACAGGGGACTCTTCTCTTGGTTATACATTTCTAGGAAGTGTTGGGTTAATTGACAGAATTCTGATCACAACTAACCAGCAGAGTAGAAAAGGATACATGTTCAGCATCTTGTTAGCAAACCATGATTAAACCCTCCTGGGACCTTTCCCATAGAAACTTCATAATTGACCAATACAATTTTTCTTTGCCTACATCAATTCATCATTCATCAATTCATCTTTAATTTAAAAAAGTTATACCAGTTTGCGCTCTAAGTTTGTTCATGTTCTGTATGGGATAATCAAAAGGTCTTGTAGTGCCTGGATATTGTGATGATGGTTTATGCCATGTTTTTGTATAGAGAAGAAGAGTTGAGATACCTTCAGTTTCTTCAAGAAGTTACAGATGATATTTTGATTAGAAGTTGTTATCACAAGGAGTAAGTACTTCAAAGTTCCTATTTATTGATCTGAAAAAACAAATTGTGGCTGAATATACAGAGAATGATGAGCCTACATGAGCCTGACGGCTTTAATGCTAATGTTGAAACAGACTCAACTCGTCCTTTCAAAGTGTTCTGTGGCTTTTACATTTTGAAAGAATTCCCAATAAAACACAAAGCTTAGAAATAAAATAGGAGGTTCACTGAAAATATTTTCTATTTCCCAATAATGTAGGGTAGAAATAAGTAGATATGCTTTGGATGAAGTGTCTACATGAAATGACAATATACATTATTGCTATAAGTGGCCTGGATTTTAAGTCTGGTTTTGATTAGATTCTTAGGGTTAAAAATGACACAGAACTGCCTTGAGTCTTCCTCATCAAAATACATCTTAAAAAGGGAGCTTTTACTCTCAAAAAATGAAAGGTAGAATAAGATAGTAACTCTGTAATGATTCTCTTTTCTTTAAAATTACAGTAGAGCAACTGCATTGTTCTGCTTGCTAAATAATCAATGAAGATCAAAAACTAATACACCGAGCCCACTCAGGTACCTACCTGCATCTGTGTGGAGTCTTCAAGTTGGCTATTGAAATGGTACCTTTCCTCCCACATGCACACATTCTTTGTAATGATATTTCTAATAGTGAATGTTTTGGGAGCCCCAATAAACAATAATGCTCTGTTTGCCTGCAGCCAACACAGACAAGATAAAAATCAACATTGGTATAGGTGTCCTCTCGACTATGAAATTATCTGCAGATTTTTTTCAGCATGATTTTATTCCTTCCTCATCAGGGATAAGTATAAGCAGTATAATTTCAACTCTTGTTTAAACATACTGTTGCCCACAGCCCATTTTTCATTTCCTAGGAGAATTCATAGGATCATAGGCCTAGAAGGGGTCTCCTGGGCCATTGTGTCTAGTTCTTTGCTGTCACAGAGGGATCACTTCCTATAATCCCTACTCTTTAGTTGTTCTTAAAAGTAATAAAACTCTTGTTAGTTTAGGAAGCTGTAATAAAATCATTATGCCAAGAAATATATTGATAAATCTAATGAATGACCAAAAGAAATCTCTCCAGCTGCCACTAAATGAACAGAAA